TCCTTGTTGAGTGTGATCCACACCATGTCGCCAAACAGCACAGTCACTAACTTTTGCTATGTATACAGGCCCACTGAGTGATTACAAGGTTGTAGACACCTGTGATGATAACTAGTGGGCACACCTTGATTTAACCTGTCCCTTTGGTGAGATTATTTTCAGGGGTACCATCATTGCTGTCCAGTTCTGTTTCATGAGATTTATTTATTGTTTCTGTTGAAGCATGGTTGAAAAGTAATGTCTGACTTCCATTTGTTCATTTTCATAGAATTATTATTATTTTATTACTTTTGACAGATTCGAGTTATTTCTGTGACCATTGTAGATTTTTATTTGATTAAACGAAGGGTACCAACATTTTGGTCACAACGTTCATCACTGAGGAGGCAGAAACAGAGGACTTAATGGAGGTAAGTTCAGTTACTCATAACCTCATCACACTCACCATAAAGTCTTTACATCATTTGGAAAAAAGGGAACTACTAAAATATAAACAAAATAATCTGAAATGCATTGGATATGTGGGAACAAAACTTCCTCCTCTCACATAATTACAAACCGGAAGACCCGAACCAAAGAGCAACCAGGAACCACACTCACCTGTTCATGATGGTGAAGGTCTTAGTCAGGAGGTCCGGCTGGGTCTGGTAGCAGGAAAAGTTGATCCTGACCATATCGTGGCGAATGATGACATCAGTGATGTTTTGGTTTGTGACGGTGTTCTCGTAGATGATGTGAGTGCCGTTGTCCTGCCAAGTGAAATATGAAGATGTTACTAAATGTGTTTTTAACACAGCTGTCAGGTTTGAGGATAGAAGCACAAAAACATCCCAAAGTAGAGAAGAGAAGCTCAGCAGTGAGCTGGGGAACATTTTGCTGCTTATCCAGAATAAAGACTGAAGAGGACCACTTACGCTGATCTGTGTTCCACAGGTGTCAACTTCAAAGTTGAATGTCACCATGTTGTTGTTCGTGTCCAGTTGACCTCTGCAGGCCGGGTCGTTCAGGTGT